CGGGAATGATAGCCTAATAACTTGAAGGCAGATTGGCCAAGAATAAGTCGTGGCTCTGCCGCAAATAGGACGAAAGTCAATGACGCTGCCCTACATTGAAAAAATATCTCGAGGCTTCCACGCCGTGCATTCCATATATCTAGCAAATACAACGGCCAGACTCATTCTCGCGTATATTACAGCCGTTCCTGACAGTAATGAGAACCATATTTATTTTTTTCGCGCGTGTGGTCTCAAATAGGTGCCACAAGCAGAAATGGACGGTGCACATCAAGTGCGCATTCCAGCGTTCCCGCCGAAGTTGCCGAGGACTATCAACTGCATCGGTTATTACCAGCTGCTGAGTGCCTTGGTGAGTAGTTCCTTCCCGATTATCCGGGTGTCTGGACACCCACAGGTCATTAACATCGCCTGCGCTCGTAGAGGCGGCGGCGCTGAGGCTCCAATTCTTTTTTTCGTTTGGAAATGTTTGAAACGGAGCTAGAGTTTAAATAAGTATTTAGTTTAGGACTATATAAACCAACAATGGCCGCCGTTAAACGGTTTCAAAAAATCAGCCACCTACCAGTGCTTAAGCGACGGTTTCCGGTGCACATGTTGGACCTCCTGAGAGAATTTCGACTGCGTGCCCGGGCACGAGTTGCATACTGCTAACATCACGGCCAAATTACCCGACGCGGTCGTATTCCCTGTGGCGTTCTCGTCCTGATTGGCGCTATGGCCGTCGTGAACTGAATGTTCAATTGGGCGGAACACGCGAATTCAAATTTTGTGTCATGCTGCCTGCCGGCGCCGGTGAGCCGTTTCGGATTCGCGCTACAACTTTGAAACTGTTGTATACTCAAAAGGTTTAGGGTTCAATGAATTGGCGGGGCGGAAACGAGCGCTTCGGTGAAGCCTGGCGCCTCGCTCAATGGTCGTTCCCACCGTTGTCACAAGTCGAGCCACATTAGACTAATAACCGTCTACAGGAGTAATCCCCACTGAGGCAGACCGGTACAAATCGTAACGCCATCAGGCTGGAGTTGGACTGAATGCTAGTTTACACAATTCCGATCTCAGGTGTAGCAGTCCGAGTCGGCGCTTAACGTTGGATTGGCGCTATGGCTGTCGTGAGCTGAATATTCAATTGGGCGGAATACGTTTAAATTCTGTGTCATGCTGCCTGCCGGCGTCGGTGAGCCGTTTCGGGCGCTGCAACTTTGAAACTGTTGTATGTTCAAAAGGTTCAGGGTTCAATGAATTGGCGGGGCGGAAACGAGCGCTTCGGTGAAGCCTGGCGCTTCGCTCACGCAATGATGGTCCTGGTCGTTCCCACCCTTGTCGCAAATCGAGCCACGAAGTTAGACTAATACTGTAACCAGTTCGTCTACCGGAGCAACCCCCACTGTTAGCAGACCGGTACAAGTCGGAACGCCCTGGAGTTGGACTGAATGCTGGTTTACACAATTCCGATTTCAGGTGTATCATCCCGAGTCGGCACTTAACATTGTACAAATCTCGTTCTAAGTTTAGATCTCTTAAGCCCATTCAGTGGCTGACTTGTACTGCCATTTCTGTCACGCGCAAGTTGTTGGGAATCAAGGGTTCAACCATTCAGTTGTATAAAAACCAGGCTGCCAGCTCTGTTTTCCTCAGATCTCCAGTTCACTTTCGCCTCTCTAAAGCTTCCTCTATGATGAAATCCTTCCTGATTATTGCCACCCTTGCTGCTAGCACCGCTGCCCTCGTCAGTCGTGCTGATCTCGCCATCAACACACCGTTAGTTTTCCCTTCCAAATTCCCCGCACACTGATTCAATTATTGTTGTGGTGTCCCTAACTTCAGAATCGGTAATATGTCCTTCGAATCAGTCCATTCTCTCTGCTCAAATATTACCAGCTGTCACTCAGTGTAGTAACATTACACTTAGTTGGTCTGGTGGAACTGGTATGTTGCATATCTAGTTCGCGCCATAACTTCGCCCTCATTGCCGAGCCTCAGCCCCATATCTTTTTGTGAGTCCCCGTTGTTAAAACCGATACTTGGCCTTCTAATTCATCTCGCTAGAGGTCAGCTCCCCTCGCTCCTAGGCCATTCTTCTGCATCACTTGACTGTTTCTTTCTTTCTGTTTTTCCTAGTGTCGAATACGCAAATGGCACCGTCGATTCGAAAGTCTCGGCATGAACCGCCAAAAGCCTGGAAATTCAGATTCGGGCCGCACCCGGTATGTCCGTAAGCCGCAAGGTCCCCACCCGGCGCTAACCCGCTGCCAGGCACTGGATTCAAGTTCGCGTCGAAGACTTCACCGGAATCACAGCAACCACTGCTGTCGTCACGGTTGGCACTGGAAGTGCGCAGGTTTTGCTCCAACTGGCCTCCCATCCGGCTAACACTGTCTCCCAGGTGATTCCTGCCTTCTGGGCGGTGGTACTGCTACTGGTATGTATTCCTCACGCCCTGTATTTCCCCCGCCATTCTAACTTGTTTTTCCCTTAGGCTCTAGCGATATTGCGGAGCTGGCCGTGATCTGCACCGACATCAACTATGGAGAAACTGTATAGAGTTTGTGTCGCCCCCCTTCGACTCTGCTCATCCTCTGGGATGCGCACCTCTCCAAGCGCCGTACGCTGGTAATATATCGAGTGCACATGGTGTGACCGACGGTTACACTTGTTTCCTTTACCCGTGCGTCTGGTTTTCTTATGCTCAGTGATTTTCTTGTTGTACTAATCTCATATTGATCTCAGGCAACTCGGCTGTCTCGGTACGCGCCTTGTGATTAGCGGGCAAATCCCCGACTTTAGGGCCGCGTCGGTCAACTTCAATGACAAGGCACTGTCCTGGAGCTGCGGCAGCGCACTTACCTCCGTCTAGTTAAGTTCAATGGAGCTGTCGTGTGGAAGTAGATAATATTGTCGCTTAAAAGTTTCAAACAAGCACTCATGTGACCGCGTCCTGGTGCCTAGTTTTTTTTGGAGGTCGAAATAAAATATAACCTTGAAAAAACGGACCCAAAAAATAGGGCCAAAAAGTAGTACAAAAAACAAAACAAAAAATGGCCTTCTGACTTTCGCTGCCGCGTGGACGCCGACACGACTGATTTGATCTCCGTAGCCACCAACTCCACCTCGGGTACCTGAAGCCTTCGGTTCAACTTCAAATCCCTACCCAAATGGAACGCGAGTCGCGTATTAATCAGGAGTAGGAGTAAGTCTTTTCATTGAGTTCGTCAAGAATCCATCTCATGGAGAGCGAGCCTGTCAGCCAAGCACAAGGACGCAGACAACGTCGCACAGGGAATAAAAGTAGATTGTAAAAAATCTCGTTGAATATTCAAGTAGTGAATGCGGTTGAGACGACTGCAAGGTATTAATGTGCGGCACGGCCGTCTGACGGGTCCGACTTGGAAGCGAATTCCTTGTCAAAATAATGAATAAGTATAAGCCCAGGGTGTTGATACTTACAGCTCTTTGCGGTACAACAGGCGCGGTCCGTTTTTTCTGTTTTGGCAAGTTTTCACGAGAACAGCTACCCTGAGCTCAATTCTCAACCGTTCCCCTTAAAAATAGGCTCATTCTATTCGCATTGAAAATCCGCAGCGAATGGAATACCGGTATTTTTGATTCTATTATGTAATAGAATTTCTTCCCGAAAAACTTGGTTTTGAGTAGGACACCTGTAGCACTCGGAATACCGCCCCGATTGGCCTAATCTTTGGATATGCTATATATCTGATGTGGCTCTAGACAACAGTGTGTTTATTTATATTACATGCCGAGTGATTGTGATCTAGCGCACACTTTAGCGGAGTAGATATCCAAACACTACCATAGGTAGAGCTGTCCATGGACGTTTGAGTACATTAAGCTCCATAAACACCCACATTGGCTAGGGTCACATCATCTGTATAGCATATCCAAAGATTAGGCCAATTGGGGCAGTATTCCAAGTGCTACAGGTGTCCTACTCAAAACCAAGTTTTTCGGGAAGAAATTCTATTACATAATAGAATCAAAAGTCCCGGTATTTCATTCGCTGTGGATTTTCAATGCGAATAGAATGAGCTTCTTTTCAGGGGAAATGGTTGAGAATTGAGTTCAGGGCAGCTGTTCTTGTGAAAACTTGCCAAAACAGAAAAAAACGGACCGCGCCTGTTGTACCGCAAAGAGCTGTAAGCTGTTACCTTGTGACATAAGCAGAATGAATAAATTTTAGGTAGTCTGTTCAATTCACCAGTGTATGCATCTTCCTGGCCGCCGAGTGCAACAAAAGAAGGAAACCAAACCAGATTCTGATTCATTTACGATTATTTCAATGCAACGCGACTCGCGTACTTTCTTTGCCATCAGATGTAACTGGGTGTGAATCTGTGCGACTCTGCGAAGCATTCGAGACGATTCAATGATTGTTGTAAGTCAGAAACCCATTTACGAGTTCAACCAACCAAAATGTGGCTGTGTCGATATTTTCACGGTTGCACTTGTAAAGTCGGGACTTCATTCTACGAGGTTTGTATGAGTCCCACTCGGACTAGTTATCTCTTTCATGGAAAAAGAAAATTCTACTTCCAGCCCCCTGCAACTTTATGGAAGCACAGCGCCTTTTAGCATATCCAGCGCCGCCTAACTTTTTATCTTCGATTACAGTTTTTCCTTTCTCAGCACTCAGCAAAAGTTTAGAAATTAAATTTCAAGTGTAGTTCAGTCCTCTTCTCCAGCCATCCTACATACATCCAATGTATCTAGGGGTCTGAACTCCAGCAGCCACATATCCATATGCATGTCGAGGTTCGCCGGAAAACATGACTTGTGAAGTTGAAGTTTAACTTACACGAAATAGTGTTGCTGAAGACCAAGGTAGCAGAACTATTGGTGTCTGAATAGGTAATTTAACGTAGGGAATTATAGCAAAAAGAGGCCTTGAAAAAGTAAAAATATGCATTAAGAGGGAATCGAACCCCCGGCGGGTCGAGTTTCCGATTACTAGAATCAGACCCACGAGATGAAAAACAAATGTATGCATTAAGAGGGAATCGAACCCCCGGCGGGTCGAATTACAATTACGCAATCCGCAGATATTGGAGTCTCACTTTGGCAACGACCCAGGTTACCACTACCCCATTAATGCGATGCAAGTGGAGCAACAATAGACGGGGAGATAGCTAATAGTGCAGAAAAAAGTACAAAGGCCAAAAGGGGAACAACTTTGGAAATGCGGGGAGAATCAAATGTAGATAGATCAACCAGCTTGTGTGATGCATCCGTCACGGGAAATAAGACCAGTATGTCTCCAACGTCTCTGGCCGAAAACCGGATGCCTCTATTCTTCCTGATGAATTCCAATGCCCAGTGGTAGTGACACATCAACTTCATCAGCGGCTAGGTTGATCGTTGGACCATACCGGAGCAGCGAGTTGCTGTCCGACCACCAACTAAATATACTTGTGCGGGTATCCTGTCGGGTCAAGGTTGGCATGGGGGGGGAAGAGGGAAGAGGGAGGAAGGCTATGCGCTGTGTGACCTCGAATGATTTTGGTTGCTGTCAAGCATTCAAGCTGCTGTGCAAATGCTATGAACTGACACCGGTGTGATAGGACTGATAGAGAATGGCTGAACCTTGCCCTGAACAGTCAAAATGTTGCCAATGCGACTCAGACCAAGGGATCCAAGGTGACCGGTGACATGCTGTGAACCTTTGGTCGTAATACTACAGTAAATGTGACTTCACTGACTTGACGAGCGGAATACTGTGCTGGAGTTACCGAATTCGATGTAGGGCTGCGCCCGTAAACGGCAACGTCCCCATCCCATCAGAAGGTTTTGAATGATATTTTTACGGGATGGTTACAGTTTGCCCGCCAACCACCGCGATCATCCATGTCCACCTTTTGCCGGCCATAGACGGTCTTCCCAAAATTCTTGCGTGGGAGCGAGACTTTCGGGTGTCTTGAGTTCTAAAATCCCACCTGTTCGAGTTAGAAGTCTTCGCACACTGAATTCCAGGCCCACACTGATATTTACAGCCTAAATTTTTGAGATTTGAGCCAGGATGGATCCTACTGCAACTGGATGCAATGCTGAAATTCACGTACAGCATCGAAATTCGGTTCAAAACCTTGTTCAAAACTGACCAGAAACTTGCCAATAGAATGTGGATTGAGTTACAAAAGTCTCCGAGCAACCTCAAGGCCACGCAAATAGCTGCAAAAGTTCGGACTAAATAGCACATCAAACCGCAACCGCATTTTTGCGTATGTTCCCGTCTTTTTGGCGTCCCATACCCTCCTACCCTCGAGAAAATCAATTCGACGCCTGTTTCATTGATGGGCCGCAACCGTCTCGACTTTTCGAATTGATGTCAATGGCCGTTGCCATTTGCGGGACGATCTGCATTCCTAAATCGAATAGCCGAGTCCACGAATGTGCGGTTGTGTTCGACGGCTGCATTGGCTGCAGTGGTTGAATAATGAATTTGACTGAATATTGTTGCAGTTCGGACTCGGATGTTGCTGGGGGAGGTCTCAGGCGGTCGTTTGATGTTATTCTGATGCCCTACTCATCGATTGGCTGGAGTCGTCTATACACATGGAACGGAATCTATTTGGTTACTCCGAGTCGAAATTTGAGTATTCAATGCTACAAACACTGGTTCTGCGTGGTGTGCTACCGGTTGACTTGAGAGAGTGTCCGAGTCGTCGACTTGGATCAAAGGTCAACTACGGGAGTAATGGAATCATTATTCAACGCTACAGACACACGGTTGGCTTGAGAGATGGATTGTAGTCGTCGTGGGAATCGAATTAAGTGCTTTGTTGAATTTGGTGGATTAAAACGCCGTCAACAGTAGATCTTGGAGCTGTGGCTCGACTTGCATGGACATGGAATGGAATATAACAGCGAGCAGTGCTCCAAACACATGAACGTCGGCGTGTGGCTTGAGGGATGTATGGGGACAAGTTTGATTCAGACATGGAAATGTCACTCGATTACCTGAAGAGAATCATTATTCAGTGCTTGTGGGGTAATATATGAGATTGTGCTACTGGTCGGCTTGAGAGATGAATTGAAAATAGTCGAGCAATGAATTTATTATTCAATTGGACAAACACATGGATGTGCAGTAATAGCGGGGGATTGGGAATCGTTGTAGGGCCCTGGGAAGTCGTTGTCGTCAGGTAAACATGGTTGGATATTATTTCAAAGCTGCGACCGGTGTTACAAGAGATGCGATGAGAGGGGGTTGATTGCGCGGTTGCGAGATGGTTTGTCTGTGATATCGACGCCAAAAGACGGTGTACGCACTGCTGGATGATGTCGTGATCGTTTACGCAGTAGTAGTACGGTCTTACCTTAGCACAGAATGTTCGCGTGCATAGTGGGGGCGTGGATGCGGAACCGTTCCGGTTGACGTTGTAGTACGGAATGACCGGGTTGCGTAGTCCTGGTGTGGCCTTGTGCGTTGGGTCTTGAGTTGAGACGCAGGGCTGGTAAACGCGGCGTCGGCTGCACTGTGCGGTGATTGTTTGATTGAGATGTAGTAATTGCGGGAAAGCGGGGCGCGCAGAAAAGAACAACAGCCGGAAACCGCCAGAAAGACGAGGGGATGGAGGGGGGAGGCGTGATAAGCGGCTGCGGAGGGTAAGATTGGTGGTGTGCTGTGGCTTGGATGGCCTGAGGTCGGTGATGTGGGCGATGGTCGGCGGCAGAGCACTGAGCAGCGATAGTCGGGGCGGGTCGGCGGGGAGTCGAGGGAAGCGGCCCGGCGACGGCGACGGTGAGCAGCGGAAGCGGCGGTGACATGGCGGCGTTGTTGAGGCGATCACGTTCGTTGGCGCGGTCATGGGCATTGGGCAGCGTGGGCGACGTTGTGGACGGTGACGAGGAGTGAGTTGACGGATGTTGTGATATTGATCGGTGATCGGACCGGGGACCGTGGTCAAAGCGAGTAATACGAGAAATGGCGGGAAGCCTTTTGGGCTCATATGAAGACCCTGCGGATCCAGAAGATGGTCCTTTGCTATTATTGATAACGTTCAAGCTAACAAAACCAGAGAGAAACCGAAAGGTTTGTATGGAGAGATGGAGCAGCCACGGCGTACAAACAGAGAAAGCAAAACTGGGCGGTGAGGAATCCGAAGATGAGGTGTACCAAAGCTACGACGTTCTGCCACATCTTCGTCCGAGTCCAAGACAGGTCAGTCACAAATGTGGCCGGGTTCAAAACTGAAGGGGGCTGCGGAGATTCAACCAAGGCAAGCGTGGAAGCAGAAGGGAAGGGAAGGACGACACGATACATACGGATTTTGGAGGGGAAGGAGGTAGAATGAGAGTAAGATTCGGATCCGAGATTGGAAACAATGAGGCAATGGATAGGCACACGGGACTTACAACTGTTTGTAGTATGGGAGAGCGCAGGTACTTGGGAAGCTGGATGGAAGAGGAAGAGAAGAGAGAAGGGGCGTGGTCAACGTTGTGCATAACGTATTGCAGAGACTCAAAACCGGAGATAGATATCGATTCAACGGTTATTCGGGGATCGTGAGGTGAGAGTCCGCGATGGATTATGAGGCGCGATGCGACACGGTGCTTGGCAAACGCAACTGAAAGTCCACAGGTGAAGAATGAATGACTGAACAACTTGTTTGAGAACGCCTTTGCCAACGAACAAATCAACAGGATAATATGCAGTCGGGATAGATTCAGACACGGTGTACGATGGATTATGTGATGCGAGAGTCTGGAGCGCGTCCTTCCAATTCATGATGCGTTCGGTCGCCTATCTATCGAGCGCGTCAGTCAGCCTGTGCCATCCACACAACCGCGAATGCACACACACGTTCAGCCAACAACAAATCAAGTCGGGCAGCAGCACGAGCGCTCCACGAACTCGCGCTTGAGCGAGCAGGTGCAGCAGCGCTCCGCAAGGTTGTCCGCGCCGGGGGCGGCGAGGACGGTGGCCGCGAAGGCGAGGATGATGAACGAGGCGAGGCGGGCGAACTGCATGGTCTGATGTGGGTGGGGTGCTGGTCTCTGATGGGGGTGAGGGACTGAATTTTTAGCACCAACGATGCGCCGTTTTTATACTGCACCTGCGTGCCTAGCTGTGCGCCTCTCTGATGGATTGCATGCGCCCTGGTTACCTCGCTGATGGTGACCAAGTGTCCGCTCCCGCAGCCGCGCCCGCATCAGTGAGAGCCGCATTGAATCTTGATGGCGACGGTGTGGAGCGGCAGCAGCGGAAAATCCACCAGATAAGTGGAGGAGCAGATAAGACGAGACGAAGAGAGGAAAGCGCAAATGCGGAAGCTGAAGTCTACGGAAAGTGTGCGTTACGAGGGAGATGTGTAACAAATGCTAGTCCTTGCTGAGATTAGACTCGGAGAGTTTAATTTAGACGGGAGCGGAGACAAGAAACCAAACACGACGGAAGCGGAGGGGGAGAAAGAGGGAAGGTGCGTTTATGACACGCCGGTACTTACGGGCAGAGTGAGACTCGAATCCCGACTCTAGAGGCAAGAGACTTGCCAACAGGGAGCGGTTCTATATCCAGATTCGGACTTTGTATTAGGTAGAATCGGATGGGGTAGGTCGCTATTGGATGGATAGGCAGACTGGGAGATTGTGGTCCCGAGCCAAGGCTGGCAATAGATCTAGTGTAGTGATGTTCAGGGCCCGGCCTCAAGCCCTAAGCCGGCCAGCCCAAGCCCTGCTAAGCCCAAGCCGGGCCGGGCCCGACGCAGGGCTTGAGCAGGCCCAGGGCTTGGGCTTCAGATTTTTCAAGCCCAAGCCAGGCCCTCAAGCCCGGGCTTCACTACGACCTGTGAACTTAGGCTTAACTTTGAATTTTGACTTCAAAACTCGTGCATCAGGTCAGCTTTCACTGGCATTGAGTCAGAAGATTTCACCGCCAATAAATATTGCAATTGATTGACAAGGATAGCTATCACCACGGTTGAAAGGGTCAACTCAGGGCATCCGAAAACAGACATTGCGTGTCGGATTGGTCGAGAAGTGGAGAAATCAAGTCAGTAGTCATTCTAATAGCCATTGAGACATTTGAATACCTGTTCATATCGTCATCCTGCAGTGTAACTTGCGATTTGTCACCTCACGAGTCAGGCCCGGGCC